CCAGCAGTAGAATATTTATTGGAAGACAGTAGTATATCAACATAGTAAATAACATGGACAACCCGTTTATATACTCCTCTGCCTGGTCAAAAGATCCAGGCAGACCTAGTACAACACAAGATCAAATACCTACATCTGAGAGATCACTGTGTCCCCCAACAGAAAGGAATATCTGGTTCATATGGGCCATATTGAACATCGCCAGCTCGTAGTCGTAGTACTGGTGTAGAGGATCTCGACATTTCTAGTCATATTACTCCCTAGAGTGTAGTTACTGGGTTCACAGTTCTTGCTGCTCGCTGTAGTGAGCACTACTGGATTCGATGAGCCAAAAAGAAGAAAAGGGAAAGAAAAGTAGAGGAATGAAGAAAACGAAAAATCAGATGAGCTTTATTACTTTTTGTGAAACTCCCGACGCTCTATAGAAAAATGGGCATATGTTGATTTCACCTCTGTGGAAAACGAACAGCAGGAGCATTCAAACGGTAGGGGGGAAGCGGGCACGGGTACAGCGCGTTCTTTCGAGCAGCGGTATCGCAGTACGAGTTGAGCTGAGAGCGTCGCTAGCATGCTGAGTTGGGTCCTGTGGGCAAGCTGCTGCAGCACGTGTTTCGCCGCACTCACTCCGAAGTAACGTTCCACACTCAGATGCACAGGCAACAGAGCATGTCACTCTGCTGCCTGTGCATCTGAGTGTGGAACGCTGACTATGCCGCGCAAACTCTGGTCACCTGCTCTCTGTTAAGTCCTTCGAAAGGAAAGAGATGTCGGCGGCCCACAGTACCTGCTTTCTCACGCGGAATGTGGTGTCTGAACGCGGAATTCACTTCCCTTCAGGCATCTTCTCTTCAATCATCGTTCGAATAGAATACAAATCCGTCGTTCGGCAAGATATTCAAGCGATAAGAGACACCGTGTCGCCTGTCCTCGCATCTAGCCCTGCACTCTCACAAGGCCAGCCGGAATAAGAGGTTTCTTCAATGGTACATACATAAGTGAACGGCGAAATGAGCCACTTCGGTAAAATTCAATGGAAAAGAGTTGGTGCGTCTGGCGGAAGCTGTCGAGAGCAACCGCGGGAATAGAGTGAAGCAAGAATGACGTTGACGCCAAAGCAAGCCCCTTCGAAAGGCACCCAGCATCGCCGCAGCGCAACAAGACTGTACATTAGCTTCACTCCCCCATTGCATCACCGAGATTCTGCTCGATCTCCATTCCCAGCTACATGCAAGCACACCTGCCCACAATGGCTGTTCTCTCCTGCTCCAAGAGAGACGCATGAACTTCATACCAATTCTGGTGCAGAGCTTTCAGGCGAAGAATCTGACAATCGCATAGGCGGTCGGTCCAGGTGTTCGCTCTGAATCCCGTGTGGGAATACAGTGCGTGTAATCGCTCTGGTCCAGGCGCTCATCTCGGACAACGTAGACTTTGCCGGGCCCACCTGATCTCCGAACTCGATGAGAGTGGTCGAGTTTCTGATCTTTGGTTGGATCGTTGATGGAGTAGAAACTTCAGATTCCTTCCCCCACCACTTGCGGATAACCTCAGGAAAACTCCGAGCATCGCTCTTTCGATGGCGCGTTGAATGGCACTAACCGCATGTTCACCCTGCTTTCGTAGAGTCCAAGTCTACGAAAGCACGGTGAACATGCGGTCTCCGAGGCGTAAGTTAAGTCAAGAATTGAAGAGGTAGGCACGGAGCCGGGTCTTCTTCGTATTATTCATTACTCTCTCAGAGTCCTACATGTTGCCGTGCTGTTTCCTTCTGCTCAGCTCTGAAGCTAAGTCACACACTGTTGATCCCTCTTACCTTGATCGGCACAGCTAGAATATTCAGAAACGTTTTCTCCCTTGACTCACGCAGCAGACTTTTCCGAGAGGTGGACGATTTTGACGTCAGTGAATGCAAAATTTAATTAGACTAATTATTGACCACGACCACCTTTGATATTCTGACCGCGTCAACTCCATTCATACATTTCATCAAAAACATTACAAGTCCCACAATGTAATGAAAATTATATGGTTTGTGGAACCCCCAATAACAAAACATTTTTCCCAACAATTCGGACAACTGCTTCTCCCAAAACAGCAACCTTTGTGCCGTCACATTAACAATGTATGTCGCGGCATTGCGGACAGTGCCGTTTACTTTACGACATATGCTAGAGAGATTCATTTCCTTTCTATTCCCTCTGCTCGTTCCTTGAAACGCTACGAGGAATCTTCCTGCTTTTGTTTCCCATGTGATAACATTCTTGTGGATATCTCTACCCGACTACTTAATCACTCGCGTTCTTATTTCCGCATAGTCGCAGTCTTCGGTTCTTCGTTTTGCTCTTTTATAAATCTTGCCAAATACGGTACTCTTGTCGCACTGGAACTGACGAACCTTTTTTGCAGTAAGAATTCTGAGCCATTCAAGGAAACTTGTTACATTCTCCTATAGCTTAACAATTATTCGATGACATCATTTGCGGCAAGACGTTGTTTCGACTGGGTAGAGGGACGGTCTCAGGATATCTGTCAACCGTGGAGCCTTCCTCATCCATCCTTTTTCCTTCCTCCTTCCTTCCTTCCTTTTTCTTCCTTCCTTCTCCCATCCTGCTTCATTATTTCCCTTCCTCTAAATGCTCGAACGATGCGACCAGTAAACTCCTCTGAACCCTCACTGCGAGAGAGCATCCGGTTGACAGATGTCTTGTAACCGTAGAGGGACCGGTGCTGACGTATTGGGGGAGAGGGGAACACGAGGCGAGCGATGAGGGCGAGCAAGGTAACACAAATTTTAGAAAAGTGTCTTTACTTTTAATCATATAAGCATTGTTTTGGTCAAGGTTTTGAGCGTGATCCTGCTCTCCTTACTCTCCTTAACGAGAGGGATACGGCTGCAGCCCTTCCTACACTGATTCCTAGCGCGCCTTCAGGCTCAGCTGTTTCACGTTGAACTGTTCTGATCCGTCTCCAGCGAGCGCACATTCACTCGAAAGGGTGCAGTTTTCAGTAGCAAGAAAGTTGCTCGGTTGCAGTCGATAAATACGTCAGATCCTTCAAATGTGGAAGCTGTGGTTAAGTACTTTCGCTGAACATGGCTGAGTATGCGTTTGACCGTGGGATGTCTCCGTTCGAGACTGCTGTCGTCCAGTCCGCTGCTGGGAAGAAATGATTGCAGTTGCTCCAAAAGGCAATATCCCGTCTGTAGTGCGCCCGCCGGGAGGTTCGAATGAAGCACGCAGTCACACGCTCCCCATCTGCTCGAGGTGAAGGGTCTGGTATGTGAAAGCCGAGCACCTTGTTTGCCGTATGAAGTTTGTGTGAACACTCTACGATAGGTTCAGTTGGTAACACTAGTCACCTTACTCACTCGATGAGACGCTTATACAAATGTTTGGACAAGGCCAAGGGCGACATCGAACATAAAATGTGCCGCGAGGGTTATTTAGAACAGGTGCCTCTAATCAAGTGCAACTTGCGGTTGATTTTCATATGCTAAAACCTCGTTGCCTCTCACTTCTAATTCTTCCCTGTCTTGGTGCGTGCCATATGCCGTTTATCGTACGCCATGCATGAAATTAGTGACATGCATAGATAGCTAAATACAACAGAAAAGGCTGCAGCTGTGTAAATAGTTGTCGGCTGACGTAAGCATCTTGATACCATTTCTTTTTTCTTAGGCCTCACGTTATTTTTACATTTCAAGATTTACTTCATCAGTGTTGCTGAAAAATGCCTTGCTCAGTCCCACTACCACTTTTTGGGTGTAATTGCAAAAGTTCTAATTCTAATTCTTCTGATTATCTGTGGATTGAATCTTGCTCAAGCCAAGCCAGTCCTTCGCTGCAGTCATTTTGAGGTTTGTACGAAAAGGACACAAAGCGGCTTCTCCCGTGCTCTGGGGCCTTATGCTATACTTCCCTTCGAGGGGGAGTTATCCCTCTTCTGGTATGCCTTATCTCTTTACCAATGCCCACGCCTTCTCTTGATTCTCTGTGTTCTCCCAGTCACCCGGAATCCCCCCCCCAACGGCATGTGTGGGGGGAGAGGTGAAGAGATCGATTATTCTCCGCGCTGTACTATGTTCGCTCAGAGCGTGCGCCAGAAGAGTATGGATGCAGAGCGGCGAGAGCCAGAGAGAAGACGGCATCAGCAAGATTTAAGGCAGGATAGTGGAAGAAGAATAACTAGGGAATATCTCCCCTTGAGGCATACGGCCCGGAGTGCGGTGCCTGCAGCAGTCGGTTGGAGCGGCGTTCGTCGTCCATCACTTTTCATAAATGTTCTAAGTATGCCTTACCCCAACGTCTGTGCGAGGTGTGGTGACTTACTGAGTCCTCATTCTCCAGCTCTTTCATGAGGATCAATACACTGTCCCGAATACCGAATTAAGCCACCAGCTCGTTAAAATGGAGGTCCACATGGCCGCGCCTCTGTATCTCCCAAACAGCTAGGCGTAAAGCGCAGACTACCATAGTCGCCGCAAGGTAATCCCGCAGAGAAGACATAATCTTACCTAAAGCTAAGCCTGGAAAGGACATGGTGGCCGATGACCGAGTGTCCCTCTCTTAATCTACCAGAAGCACCCCGAATAAATCACTAGATCTAAACGGCATTGCTCATATGGAAGCATTTCTCAGTTCCACGAAATAAGGTGAATGCGGAACTACAAGCGTTAAAAGAGATATTTAAAGTTTATTTGAAATAATCTCTTCCATGGCTACGATTATGAGAACATATGTCAATAGGTGTATTCAGCCTTGAAGTTCTTTGCCATCACTCCATGCTGGTTGTTGGCAACGCATGCATACACTCCTTGATCACCCATCGTTGCTGGATCTAAATTATAATTTTCAATAACGATTGTAGTCGTAACAATTTGTGCTAAACTTTTGCATTCGTCATGCCATAGTTTCTATAGGTCTATACAGACAAGCTGGAGTTATTGGTCCAAAAAGCCAGTGAGAGGGGTTAACTGTGAACTTGATTATGAACAATCAACTGTAAAGTACCATGTTGGGTGAAGAGCAGTCATTTTTCAAGTGGGTCTAAAATGGAGTATGTCGGGTTACGGGTGTTTTTTCGACAAAGGAGACAACTACTACAAAGCAATGAACCCGACAATGGGAAGCAACGGGATTGCCAAATGCTACATTCCCCGTTGCTGAATTGCGCTTCGTTTTTCTTAATTATGTTCCAAATAGGAAATACTCTATTCAAAAATATATCAAAATAAAATATCAGGTGCGGGCCGGGAGATCCGATTTGCGGCGGTGCAGCGAAAGCAGCCCAAAGTGGCGTCACGCGCGTCAGAACCGTCGCATACGAATATGTCATACCAAGCCTAGTCATACGGTTGTGAAGCGCTACTTCTCAGTTGCAGCATTTGGCGCACATAAACTAGTGCTGAATGGGAATCGCATAACAATGAAGGGCCGACTAAAGACACTATTTCGTGGTTTCCGATTCGTGAGCATTTGGTCTGGCATACGCATTCGTTATAGTGTCAGAGGGCTCAATAGTGAAGAAAAGAGAGAGTGATTCACCGACGACCCATAAAGGCTCCGTGATGCGAGAGATTCTTAAATTAGCGAAACAGAGTCAGAAACTGTCCTCCTTACAAATACACGTTCAGCTTCGACTTAACTTCTTTATAATTCTACGTTCTTACCTATTTCCAACTTGCTCCAGAGCATATCTTCACCGAGTGGTTTCTCGTAGTACTGAAAGTAGGACTGTAATTCGTTAGAAGTAGGTAGGGTACAAAAGTGTTTAAAAAGAGCATACGTGAGTGTTATGCTTTGGATGAAGTTCAGCGCCTTCTTTATACCATTTTATGGTTGGTCGTGGATCTCCTTTTGCTTTACAAATAATAATTAACTTGTATCCGAGACGAAATGTCTGACTGAAGTGTGAACCAGTAACAATGTGAGCACTCTGGAAGGATAATTACATGTTGAAGTTTTTATTCTGAGTTGTTGATATTGAGATCAGCGCTACTCCAATAAAGGAACGAAGTGGTTTACTTGTCTCGTTGCCCTCCGCGTCCCCTCCGCAAGCTGTGGCGCTAAGACGGTATGGGGGAAGGAACCACTAGGCTGCAGCTATGTCCCTCTTCCCCAAGAAGGCTCAGGCTTCGAGCGCTGACGACCCGAGTCGTGGAGGTATAGCCTAGTTGAGAAGACACAGTCTCCACTAAGCCCAAGCCTTGATAAAGGGAAAGGATATGGAGGTGATGGCGAGTGGTGCCTCCCCCCACCTCCAACTACGTTAAAGTCAGAAATCCTTTTATTATTGGCTCATTATCATTTCATTTCTTAGTACCTGCTCACCTTCCCTTCATTTGAATGAAATGTTTCCCCCTCCCCCTTCAGGTGCTCTTCTTCGAATACGCTACCTCATTAGGCATTGGGATTTACCAGTAAGTGAGTAATGAGAGATAGGAGAAGAGAAGAATAGAGGATTGTTCGTCAAAAGAAAGATAACTATCGAAAAGAAAGGTAACTATCGACTTGGTGAACTAGGAGAATCGGAGAATACGCCTTAAAGAAGTCATCGACAGAGTACAGCATCGTGATGTGTGAAATGGTGGTGTCAGTATGACCCCCCCCACCTTCGAGGAGAGTGTCACTACGACCCCTTTCCACCTTAAAGGGGATCTCGATGCCACCCCATTCCCGCATTTTTCGTCCAACCAGCCGAGGGGAGGGGGATATAGCCAATAGCCAGTGTAAAACGGAAAAATTTCCCAGATTTTCCCCATCTTCCTACCACTTTTTCCCGAATATTCCGAGGATTTTCCCCGAAAATTTTGCTGTTGAGCGGGGAGGGGCATATAAAAGTATATAGTACACATGAAACAGGAAAAATCACGAAAAGTCAACAACCGGGAAAATTTTTTTCCAACGCGGCAAATTTCTCTCAAAGGCACATACGACCCTCCCCTTCTCCAGCCGGAAAGTACGACCCCCCATGTGTTTCACACCAGTGATGGTGTACCCTGGTCATCGACTCTCCTGTTCTCCCGATTCACTCGATTCATATCTATACTTTCTTTTGGCACCATTCCGAGCGACCTGCGGCGAAGTATGAACGCGCTCTTAACAACTGATGGTCATTCACAAGGCTTTAGCAAGCAAGTTCATCATTCTTCCTAATCTCATTGAAAATTATTGAATACAGTCGTATTCCGCTGGACTGACCTAATGGCAATTAGTCTGTTATTTCAATGGAATCCCAAAGAATGTGCAAATTTTCATTAGAAAATGCTTACCCGATTGTCGGCGAGTTGTGTTTGAATCAATGAGAACTCGGCTACTTGTGCGAATTGCAGATTGCTTTTCCCTTTGCCCTTCCCTCCTCTTCGACCTCCGCGACTGTCGACAAATTGTTGCAGAGCGACGAGAATGAAGAGGAGGAAAATTCGCATCCGGAAGATCACCGAAGTACCTAAGAAGTATATGCAGTATTTACATCCGTCTTTTCGTTCGATTGTTGAATCGTAAGTTTATTTGTTATATGTTAGCTGTAGTAACACTGAGAAGGGAACGCGGTTTTCATTTCTGTTTTCCGGGATATAACTGATCTTTTTAAGCGCTTGGATGACTCCAGGGACGAACTTT